CTGCCAGGGACAACAAAAAATCCAGGCTACAAGAGATGTGTTCTATCATATTGGCGCCGCGAGGCTGAAGTTACGTCCAAGTATCTACTCAGACCTTCGTTGACTAACGTTCACCGGCTGTGCCTTGGGCCTTATCTCGAGCCTCGCCGGCAGCTACACATCCACTAGTATTTTAGGCAGAATAGAATTGCCGGCAATGGCATTGGGGACTGCAACGGCTATTTCAGGTTCGTTAGCCTTCATCAGCCAGTCATACACAACCCGAAGTGGCGCCCCACCCGAAGTCCGAACCCGAGACATTTTCCTCAGAAGTCTAACACTCCAACCATTGAATTATTACGGGCCCGTTGTCTTGTCGATTTCGATCGGGATTGAACATTGATTGATGAATGTGTACACGACTAGTCGCTGCGCGATTGCTGTCGGGGCTTGAACGTAAACCCCAAGGCAGAAAGGAACGGGTGAGTTCCATTAGCGATCGGTGAGCGCTCAACTACCGATCGAAAACCGACAAGACAATGAGCCCGCGGCTTAGTGTTTAGAGCATTGGACTTCTGATCAGCCGGTCGCGGGTTTGAGCCTTGCACCGTTGGGGATTGGGTATGGCTAGCTCATGACGACTAATGAGCCAGAAATTGCAAGTCCCGTCCCTCCTGCCTTTCACGGCAGCGTTCATCTGCTTACCCGGGGTTAGTTCCTAACCCTAGCTTCGGAGCGGGAGCCTCCGAGCCCCTATCAAGGTGGCGGTGGTGAAGTAATACCTCCCACTGAAGTAGACGAGGAGAATTTTTTCTGTTGAGTTTACTCCTAATTAAAGTTTTCCTGTTCCTTTTTCGTCCGTCCGCCCGCCCTGCAGGTGGACCTCAATGTCCGACCCTCCAATCAGTCCATCCTGGGCGGTCTTCCCCCGCCTCAACCGCAGATCAGCAAGGACGCGGCACCCTCCTTCCAGCAGCGGTTGAAATTTCTCCACGAGGTATGCATATCTTCTCCCCCTCTCTCTCTCTGCGCTCTGCTCGTTCCTTTTTTGTTCAGCGTTCTCTCTTGCTAACGTAATTCAACCTTATACCTGTCTGAGGTCTGACTC